GGTTGGACTAGATGACCCTGGAGGTCCCTTCCAACTCCATAATTCTATGATTCTATAACTCTCAAGAATGGAAGTCCTCTCACTTGACTGGTGGCATTCTGAGTTTGACCAAACAGGCATAGTAAAAACAAAAATCTAGGGAAATATTATTTTAAACACATTGCAAAGAGAGAGCAATAACCACAAACAGCAGGAGCTGGTTTGCAAGTGCCATTCAATGAGAGAGGCGACAGGCCACCTCTTCCAGCGCTTGTCTTTGTATAATCCTCAGTGGTTTCAAAATGCAGCAAGCAGAGAGGGTGAGGAAAGAATCCTGGTCATCTTCACCCCGTGCTTCAGTGATAAGCACTTATTCTTTCCAGAGCCTCCGTTCCAGTTTGGAAACACCTCACCGTCAAGCATCTCAATGCATGACAACACATACTTCTCCAAGGGGTCCTCAAGGCCTGGCACGAAGACTGAAAGTGTGCCTGTGTAAAACCCAGAGTATCCAAAAGGACCATAGGTCTGTGACAGATCCTGTGTGCAGCGTGTTCAAAAATGCCAGGTTCAGCTTTTGCCCTCATGAGCTAAACTGCATCTTGCTTCACTTGATTTCTTGATTTGGGCCAATTACAGGTAGTTTGCTGAAAGTTTTCCAAACCCTGCTACGAGTCTCATTCAAACAGTAGGCTGGTATTTGTTTCACCCAGAAGGATGCTTACCTGCCACAGATGCACGTGTAGGAAGTGTGCCGCATGCCCCCACGAGTGTAGCAGTAGTGCTGAAAAAGGCTGTGGGGGGGAAAAAAAGAAAATCAACAATTAATGGTTTTCGCTGAGTGGCAATCACCCCTCCAGCCCCACCAAGACAGAGCATGTGAAGTCTTCTTAACCTAGAAGAAGAAGAGGAGGAGGAGGAGGAGATTGGATTTATACCCCGCCCCTCACTACCCAAGGGAGTCTCAGAGCGGCTTACAAACTCCTTTCCCTTCCTCTCCCCACAACAGACACCCTGTGAGGTAGGTGGGGCTGAGAGAGCTCTGACAGAAACTGTCCTTTTTCAAGAACAGCTGTGCCAGAACTATGGCTTGTCCAAGGTCATCCAGCAGGTACAAGTAGAGGAGTGGGGAATCAAACCCGGTTCTCCCAGATTAGAGTCCACGCACTTAACCACTACACCAAACTGGCTACACCTACTCTTTTACTTCTTCCCCATGGCCCAGCTCAGGAGATTAACTAAGAGACTCTCCCTTGGTTTTTGAAGTCAGCCTTGTGCTGCTGGAAGTGAGAGCTTCATGCTCAAGAGAACTATACAGGGATCCCACCAGCACCACCACCACAAATGTTTCAGGTTTATTTATTGTTTATATTTATATCCCGCCTTTCCAGATATCTGGCTCAAGGCGGCTAACATTAAAATGGCATAAACAACCAAGTTAAAACAAGTAATAAATACCATACCAATTAAAACAACAGCAGTTGCAATTAACCCAACTGAAATGGCGGTTTATCTGTCCCCTAGAGCCAATTCACAGTTTGATTATTAATTTCTTATTTATTTCCTTAAATGTGTACCCTGCTCCCCCCGCTAAGGCAGGCTCAGGGCGGCTGACGTCATAAAAACACAACAATAAATAACAATAAGAACAATTCACCAAACAGTTCAATAACAATTCATTAAAACTAACTTACAATATATTAAAGTGCTAGCAGTTAACATATAATATCAAAGATGGCTTCATACATTCTATAGATTCACTTGATATTCAGCTCGTTGGTCTTTCTAATTTTTGGTCGGCGAATACAGGCTATCAGTAATAGACCAGGCACCAGGCTACTGTTGTTATTACATTGATGGTATTAATAAGCATAGGTGGTAATGCTGACCGCGATGGTAGTTGTGGCGGCTCCTAGTTGAAAGCCTGGTGGAAGAGCTCCGTCTTACAAGCCCTGCAGAACTGTAAAAGGTCCCGCAGGGGCCTGATCTCTTTCGGGAGCTTGTTCCACCAGTATGGAGCTGCTTGTTCCACCAGTTTATGAAGCCTTAAAAAGCTGACTGCAGCACCTAAAATTCTGGCTCGTGCCAAACATGCCTTGTTGAAAACTCACAACTGGAACTCAGTGCATAGCGCATAAATGGATCTCAAAGGAAGTCTATCTCACCAAGTTAGCTTCTATTCAAGGTCATCTCAAAAACAATGCTTTCAAGGGATGCACATACTTTGATGAGTCACCAAACTCTAATTAAATTGAGTGAAAAGGGAATGAAGGATGTGGCCCACTCCATAAGGCTTAACATTCACAGGCAAGAACAGAACATAAGCTAAAAAAGCGGTTCATGAACTCAGTTTCCCCACCACCACTCTCTGAGTGAACAACAAAATGCACTGGGTGGAGGCAGAGGATTCTGCATATCCCCAGAGCTGTTTTGATACTGGGCAAGGTATGTGTATTATAAAGAACCTGTGACTACAGAGGTTACGACACTGAGCTGCAGACTGGAAGGTCTGTAGTTTGGCAGTTTGAGACCCCAGTGCCATGTGAAGGAGTGAGCTCCCGTCTCTGGCCCCAGCTCCTGCCAACCTAGCAGTTCAAAAGCAAGAAATTGCAAGTAGATAAATAGGTACCACTTTGATGGGAAGGTAACAGCGTTCCGTGCGCCTCGGCATTTAGTCACGCCGGCCACATGACCATGGAAACATCTTCGGACAGCGCTGGCTCTTCGGCTTGGAAGCAGAGATGAGCACCGCCTCCTAGGGTCAGATTCGACTAGCTTTCGAGCAAGGGAAACCTTTACCTTTACACACATGTAAAAGACTACTGTTGGGCAGGGCCTATGACAGGCAACCCCAAGATGGTGCCCAAGGGCTCCATGCTGCCTGCCAAGTGTTTTCAGAAAGTGGGTGGGGCCAGATGGGGCTTTTACTCTGCAGGGCTTTTGATTGGCTGTGCAGACTTTTAAAAAAAGTGTTTTCAGAAAGTGGGTGGGGCCAGATGGGGATTTTATTCTGCAGGGCTTTTGATTGGCTGTGCAGACTTTAAAAAAAATGTTGCTTCAGCAGCAGCTGCCACCACAGCACAAGGACTTTCACTTTGTGATTAAAGGCCAAGCTGTGGGTATGCCAGAAAATATTTTAAAGCAATATGCTTATTTTAAAATGCACCCTGTTAAGCATAGCTGCTGCATGGCCTCACTCCCTGACGTTTTGTGATCAGCTCCACCTCTTGTGGCAGCCATTTTGTGGCTTCACCCACCACCTGCGTCAGAATTCCAAAGGTGCCCAGAGGATCAAAAAGCCCGAGGACCCATGGCCTATGATGTTGCTAGTGACAAGGAACACAGCCTTCGGCATTTTTAAGGCTCTTCCTACACTATGGAAATGGACCTCTCCTCAGCTACCCTTCTCTCCACTGTATTTCTTTATAGAGCAGGAGAAAGGCATACCAATGCCCCTGAAGCCCATTTACTAATACCTTTTGCATTTTATTTAATACAGATCTTTCGGCTTTCTCTTCCACAATGCACGGATTTCCACAATGCAGCCTTTTTGTACGAAGAGGGAGGAGCCCAGCTTTCTCTTCCACAATGCACGGATGTGCACGTTACCCAGCCTTTTTGTACGAAGAGGGAGGAGCCACAGTACACCGATAATAATAAATATTGAGTTGCCTATTCCAGATGGAGTTTGTCTCAGGCTAAAGGACCACATTAGAAGTACCGGGGTCCTTTTCCGGTTCTTTCTTGCTATTTGAGACACAGTTTGAAGCAGTAACAAAGAATGCTTTACTTTCAGATATGTTCAGAAACTCTCTTGTTTTCCATACTCAGATGATCAAGCCACAGTCATCCATCTGCTGTAAATCACGCCCCCTAGCTAGACTACTGTAACACATGCTATGTGGGGGCTGCCCTTGAAGACACCACAGACATTCCAGCAAGTGCAAAATGCTGCAGCACATCCAGTTATGTGCATTAAATGCTACAAAACCATCATACTGATACCAAAAGCAACTGCACTGTAATTATGAAGGTTTCCTTCAAGATGCTCGTTCTTATCTTAAAAACCCTTCATGATAAGGAAGCCACATATCTAACGCCTCTTCTTGCATCTGCCTATATGCAGGCTGAGATTTCCCCAACACTCCCTCTTTATTTGGTTTCTCAGCCAGGCAGCATGCACATCCTCTGCAAGCAGCAGAAAGTTCTTGGCAGCCTCTTTTGAAACGGTGTACCGGAAAGTGCGTGAAAAGCTCCATCTCTAATGCATTTTGGAAGGCTTGCAAGATAAATTTTGTTTAGAAGGGCATATTTCCCAAGTGCAGTTGCTGTTTCATGGTTGAGTGTTGACTGATTCATATGGGACAAGGATGTTTTGTGATCTTGGGGGGGGGATTTTTCTGTTTCTAAGATGGGTTGCTTTGTAATTACATGTATACATAAGCCACTTTGAAGAGAAACTGGTAAGGAAACAGGTAGTTTTTCTTAAACAAACCAATCACCTCTCCCCTTTAAAAAAGGGTCACTATGTGACCATTTCTGCACTGGCAAATGGGGAGGCAAAGATTAGGTTTTTCAGAAAGTTGAGAGGCAGCTAGAAAAGGATAATTTACTAACTGATAGGTCTCATAAATAGTTCTCTGAAGTTTTGGTATCATTATTTCAAAAACCTGAAAGATCTTCTTGACTATAGGCAATACAGGGACAGCAGACAGGTGCAGGCTCCGCGGGAATGAAGGCATATTTAAGACCTGTCTGCTTGTCTGCAGGCAACGTTAATCTTGCACAGCGGTAGAAGCACCCTGCAGGGGGAGCTCTTCAGCCTCCCGAAAGAGCTCCGGGCTCCCCCCCCCCTTACTTGATGGATGCTCTCTCATCAGGCAAGGGCAGATGTACCCACACTACAATTAATACAGGATTAAGTGCTTTAAGAGCCAAGCACATATTATAGCCCCTTTCACTCTTTGTGAAATATGCTCTAATTACGATCCAATTCCCTTTAATACTAAAAGGATTCTGGGGGGGGGTGAGGGAGGGAGAACCTCATTTGTAGTAATATTAAAATCATTTCATTAACATGGAGTGATAATGGAACCCATTCAGATTTCAGAGGCATTTGTAAGCGTGCTCCGATTCAAGTTATTAGAAGGACACTCAGAGTATCCACCCTGCACACAGATACACAAATTTACTCAACAACCTAATAATAAGAGGTCAGAAGGATGGACCACATATTATTATGGACACATTTCACAAGTGACTGAATCACCTTTCCTTAAAAGTTTTCAAGGAATGCACACTTTTCTGAAATACTTTAGGGAGTCCATGTCCAAGATGGGGGCACAAGTCCCAAAGTGGCCCGTTAAGATATTTTCATATTCTAGAACAGGCCTCCCCCCTACTTTTTTGAGCCTGTCAGCACATTTGGAATTCTGACATGGCATGGTACGCATAGCAACAAAATGGCTGCCACAAAATAGTTGCCGCAGGAAGTGGAGCCAACTACGAAATGGTTGCCATGGCTTAACTGCAGTAACACTGTGGTGGCAGCTGCTCCAAAGCAACCTTTTAAAAAATCTGCACAGCCAATCAAATCTCCAATAGCCAATCAGAAATCTTGCTGGGTAAAAGCCCTATCTGGTACCTCCCACTTCCTAAAAACACTTGGTGGCCATCAGAAAAGGTGTTGAAGGGTGCCCATGGGGGTCACCCACTCTAGAACTGTCCCCACAAAGACCAAGGCCAGGGGTACAGAGCCATAGCCGTATTACTAGCAATAAATCTATCTCCCAGG